TTTGGAAAGCCGGGGCCGGGGGTGCCGACCCCCGACCCCCGGGACCCCCGCCGGGGCCCCGGGTCCGGGGGTTGACAACCCTGGCTCCGCCTCATCGGGACGAGGTGACACACCAAAGGGGAAATTAGCAACGTGGTCGCCATCATTCAAGGAAAGCGCTAGAAAAAGGGCCTTCGCGCGAATGGAAGGGACGAGAGAAAGGGTGGAGATCATTATCGAGGAAGCATTTAGCAAGAAAGGGTGGGTAAAGATGGGATTACCACAGAAGAAGCGGAGACAGGAGGACGATGCTTCGGGCGTTACGGTCTTAGAAAAGGAAACAGAGGTCGAACTAGGGGCCAGTCTGCCAAGACCAAAGGAGACTTGAGACGAGGAGCCGGGGATAACATTTGAAATTGTTGACTTACTGCACCTCATCAAAGATATAAGATACCATAAGGTAGGTGTGGACCCGGTTGCACTCGCGAAGTTTGAGGGAGAAGTCTGAAAAGGCTACTGCCTGAACGGGAAATTGATCAACATGCAGCCTCGAGTTGCCGAAGTACCAAGGGCGGCCCCAACTGTTCATTTTTTAGGAGAAAGATCTCGGAAGGAAGCGTTCGCAAGTACAAACTTGTAGGAAAGAATGCTAAGCCTGTCTCGGTTCTGCTAGAGATAACGAAGGAAGAAGCCATGGAAAGGGAGGAAGAAGTTCTCTGAATGATTAGAGAAAGAAGGGCAACAGAGGGGCATCTAATACCAAATGAAGTAGAAATGACCATGAAGATAGGAGTAGAGGGATTCCTAACAGAGCAGGAAACTCGCTTGATTAAGGAAGCATGTCAAGAATTCGACCTGGCATTTGCCTTCAATGACCATCAGAAGGGGTGATTGGACGCAAAGTTGATACCGCTCGTCAGGATTCACACAGTCGAACACGAATGTTGGAATGACAAGGGACCAGCCTACGATTTCGGAGTAGCAGGAGAAGTGATAGAATTGCTTAGAGTGAAGATGGATTCCTTTGTGGCAGAGGCCACCGCATCGTCGTATGCAAACAGGTGGTTGTGTTTCGGAAGCCTAGCAAGACGCTTAGGTGGATCCAGGATCTGCACAAGTTAAATGTTGTCACCATCCGGGACGCGGGGTCGCTGCCTCAAGCAGATTTGTAGGCAGAATCCCACGTCGGGTGAAGCATTTACTCATTGGTAGATCTCTATTCTGGATACGATCAGCTCCCGCTGGACGCCCGAGATAGACCCTACACGGCCATGTACACCCCGGTAGGCCAGCTACAAATGCAAGAGACTCCTATAGGCTTCACCAATGTTGTGGCAGAAGCACGAAGGAGGATGCTCGTAGTCGCAGGGGACATGTTCCCTCCAAAGTGCGAACCTTACATTGATGACAACCCGATTAAGGGCACCCAAGAAAAGGATGAGACGAAAGTTCAACCCGGAGTGCGGAAATTCGTATGGGATCACTTGCAGGACATCAAGGAGCTTCTCTGTAGGTTTTTGGTGTACAATATTACTGCCAGCAGACCTAAGAGTATCCTGGCAGTTCCAGAAGTGACCATCTTAGGATTTCGCTGCGGGTCATATGGGAGGAAGCCCGATCCATCCAAGACCGACAAAATCTCTAAATGGCCAACACCCCTACGACGCCCAAGGAGGAAGTGTCGCCATCATTTGAGAGCCATCACGAACGCGAGTAGTTCCTTATTCCTTGCATCATCAAGTGAGTTGATGGGAGGCACGTTGTGGCTGAAGTCCTCCACGGGATGCCAGTCGTCGCCGTCGTGTTGTTCCAAGACTACCCCAATGCCATAGTCGGAGGCGTCGGTTGTCACTCTCGTTGGCAAGGTGGGGTCGTAGATGCTAAGGACAAGTGTCATAAGCATGGCCGTCTTGAGTGCTTGGAATGACCGGCGCGCTTCGTCGTCGAATACGAATTGCACCTTTGGCGATTGTAGTCGTGTCAATGGTGCGACAATCCTTGAGTACCCGGTGATGAAGCGTTGGTAGTAGCCTGCCAACGCCATGAATGAGCGAACGTCCGTGGTGTTGGTGGGCTCGGGCCCTACGCGGATGACCTCAATCTTGTCCGCGAGCGGACTGATGGCTTGCGGCGTCACATAATGGCCCAAGTACTCAAGCTCTTGCCACGCTAATTCACATTTATCGCGATTGGCTTTGTACTTGGCTTGTCGTAGCCGCTCCAAAACGGTGCGAAGGTGCTCCACATGCTCGTCCAAACTCCGACTGCACACCAAGATATCGTCGAGGTAGATGAGTACAAATTTGTCTAGCATGTGTCAGAGCCCCGTCGTCATAACCGCTTAGAACGTGGTCGTGACATTCGTAAGGCCAAAAGGCATAACCAGCCATTCGAAATGCCCATATCCCGTCTTGAACGCGGTCCTTCCGCCGGATCATGAGTTGGTGATATCCCGATTTGAGGTCAAGCTTGGAGAAAATATTTGCTTTGCCAGTCGTTCGAGGAGGTCGTCGATGTGCGGAAGAGGGCCGGCGTTCTTGACGGTTTGTGTTTTGAGCTTGCGATAATCGATGCACAACCGCAAGTCCTTGTTCTTCTTCCGGACGAAGAGAACGGGAGCGCAGTATGGCGAAGAGCTAGGCCGAATCCAACCCTTCTTAAGAAGGTCGTCGAGTTGTGCCCGTAGCACACTTAACTCTTCCTCGCTCATGCGGTAGATGCAACCACGTGGAGGTACGGTCGTGGCGGATTGGTTGATCCAGTACTACTTTGTGCTGGGCTTCAAAAATGTCTTCGTAGGCGTCTAGAAGCTCGGTGATGCGTGGGTCCGTCGATGCGTCTGTCGATGGGATGTCATGGGGAGGGAGGGCGTGGAGGGAACACACACGTGGTTGAAGCTCGAATGCTCGCGGCGGACACCACGTGACAACTGATCGAAGGGGGGGGTGGAGGCACTGTGTACTGGACTAGTACTCCGTTCCGATCACGGATGTGAATGGTGCGATGGTAGAAGTTCATCGGGCGATCCTCGCTTTGCAGCCACGACATGCCCCAAATCATGTCGAACTTGTTGTCCAAAATGTCGAAGGACACGGCCTCGCTTGCATGCGGGGCGAAGTACGCGGCGACGGAATCAATGCACCAGTCGATTGACTTGTGCGTGTGACCGTCGGCCGACGTGACTTGCGTGGGCTGCGACTCCTCTGAACGCGTGGCCACAGGCCAGCGAGTACCAGAAAATCTTGGCTCATATAGTTGCGTGTAGCTCCGCAATCGATCAAAGCGCTGCAGGTCGCTTCTCCGATCTGAATGCGTATGTACAACAATTGTGTGTCGTTGGTGTCGTACCACTGTGTCTTGAACTCGCAGTCGATCTTCTCAAGGTAGTTATGAAGGTCAACAACCCCTACTCCGGCGTCCATCGACAGAGCTGGCCCTGTAGTGTGCAAGTAATCCCGCAATTGTGCCATGAGTGTGTTGCAATGCGGTTTCTGCAGTCGATCGGTCAGGGGAAAGGGCATCCATTGGAAGTACGCGAACGTCAACGGGTCGAGTCTCTAAAGGCTTGACCACGACGTCAAATCCCCGGCGAAAGTTGGTGGCGAAGCTGCCGAATCGGTTGCCGATGGTGATGAAACCGTGCATGCGGTGGTGTCTTGCACGTGGAGTGGCTGGTCCAACGGTGGGACCAAGTGGATAGTGTAATCCTCGTAAGTGAACCGAGGACTTGCGATATCCGCATTCTCCCCAGATGTGTAGGAGGCCGCTAGCAAGGCGGTCAAATCTGGCGGAGTGAGAGGTGGAGCCGCCTCACCTCCCGTGCAACTTTGTTTCCCGAGCCGATTTGAGGTCGAAAATCCTCCTTGCCTTGGTCTTGGCATTGGGAGGTCTTGTGCTTGGTGCTGTTGCACCAATAACAGCAGCCGTATCGGCTGCGGTACTTGTATTCTGCCTCGGTCAAGGTGAACTTGACCCATGGTACTGGCTGTCCATTTCTGGCTGGGGATGCTGTTTTCACATTCCCTTTTCCACGGGAGTTGTTGCTTCACGGCAAGACGGTGGCCACCTGATCTCCCTCACATGATGTTGTGGTGGCTGCCAAGTCTTCCACAAGGTTGTCCGGTTGGACTGCAGCGACAGGCTGAGGACGCGGACCAAAACTTCCTTTCTCCACATGGGCTGGCTGCCACACAGATTTCTTGTGTGCAGCAGCCCGGTTGGTCTTGATGATCTCACGAGCCTTGTCAATGATTTCGGCGAAGGTCGTGTATTGCTCGTGATCACCGAGTGCGAGGCTCAAGGCGGCACACGACCGATTGTAGAACTCCCAACGCAAATGTGAAAATGGCAAGTCGAGAACGGGTGTTGCCACGATCTTTTGCCATTCCGTGAGCCAGTCGCGTGTCGGTGTGTTGCCTTGAGTCATGGCGAAGAGGCGGTTGATGGCGATTATCGGGGCGTCGTTAAACAAAGAACCGCTTCTTCCATTCCTTCGTCGGATCTTGCCAAGAGATTTTTTTTGTGCATGTCGGCGGCCTGGACGCCGTGGATGGTTGCCATGTGGCTGAGCCAGATCTGGCATCCGTGCTTGGCGTTGAGGAACAGCGCCAAGATGTACAAGTGCTCGGGGACCTGATGAATCCGAAGCTCCGTCGTAAAACCCTACCACCAGGGGACCGGGTTGTGATGCGTATAGTCATCAAATGTTTCGATCCGAAACGTAGACATCTTGTACTTCCACGATGCCATCGTTGTCTGGCGGGTGGTGTAGTTGCCGAACCTCGTTCTTCAAGGAGTCGAGCTTCTCGCTAATGGAGCCCGGTGTGGCGAAGGTGCTGATGTCGCCGAGCAGTGCTAGTAGATGATCCATTCGTTGCTCCAACTGACGGGTAGAGGCTGCATTGCTGGGTTCGCCAGCATCTGGTCTTGGTTCTGCCTGCTCCAAGGTGTATGAAGTGCTCGTGTAGCATCCTCGTGCAGGTCCTTGTGGTTGCCCACTGTCTGTCGGAGATTCTCCTGTTCCTGGTGCTGTTTCTCTAACTCGGACTGCAGGTGGTTACCAGTGTAAACCAACCGGGCCATGAGTATGGAGAGAAACTCGTTGTGCGGCTCTTCCGGTGTCACGTCGTCGTGGCCCTCGGAGGTTCAAAATGCCAGAACTTGAGCCTGTGGACGCTGGCGGCTTCGTGCCACTGGAGCAGATCTTGGGCCTGCCTGCGGTGGGCCTGGGCGTCTGTGTCAGCTGCGGCCTGAAGCCGCTGCTTTTCAGCCGCTGCCTCCGCTTCAGCCTGTAGGCAGGCAGTCTCGGCTGCCGCCTGGAGGTATTCATCAGCGTCGATCTGTGCGAGCTCAGCTTGGATCCGCTGTCGGTACTTGGCAATGGACTCGCTGGGCAGTTGGCCTGGCTTGCCCAAAACTGAAACTGTCATGGTGGCGGGGCACTGCTGATGTGGTACTGCTGACGTGGCACTGCTGTCGTGGCACTGCTGACATGGCACTGTTGCTGACGTGGCACTGGTGATGTGGCACTTACCAAAACGGCAACGCAGGCAAGGGGCTGGGTGGGAGGGAAACGCAGGCAGGTAATCAAACTGCACTTCTCCATTCCCGGTCCTAATCAACAGAACAACAAAAAATAAAAATAAAATAAAAGAAGAGGATCCCCCCCATCCTGCGGGACATCCGTTAAAATTGGAACCATACAGAGAAGATTAGCATGGCCCCTGCACAAGGATGACACACATAAATTGAGAAATGATCTAAGGTTAAAAAAGAAAAAAGAAAAAAAAAAGGAAGAGGATCCCCCCCCCTTTTTTTGTTTTTTTTTTGAATGTCTGTCGATCAGCTATCAGTGAGGCATTTATGGAGGAGTGATATGCTATGAGTGAGATATAGCCAAGGCTTCGCAAAATTTCGTTTTCAAGAAAAATGAGATCTTTGAAAAAAAGATTTTTTTTTTTTGCGCGAAATAGAATGGAGGTTCCACTTTCAGAGAAGGATAGATCCAGTTTCCGAGAATATGACAACCCCCCCAAGTTCACCTAATATGCCCAGAGTCAGGGTAACCGACGTTCGGGATGGGCCGAACGCCCGAACCCGAACGACCGAACGTATGGGACCCCTTGGGGATGCGTTCGGCCATTCGGCCGAACGCGGACCCAAAAAAAAAAAAAAAAAAAAAAAAAAGTTCATCAAAAAAATCTGAAAAAAGAACATGTTATGGACAAAAATAAATTAAACAAGATTTGCCTGAGCATTACGTCTGAATTCCTTACCAAATTTGAAATAAAAATGAAATCTACAGAACAAATACTAATAATAAAAATAAATAAAAATAAAAAGAGAATTAAATTTAGTGAGTGCGCGAGCATGTTTTTGACACCGCCATCTTTGGCGATTTTTTTTTTTTTTTTTGGCATAGCCAAATGCCCTCAAAATGTACAGATGTGTACTTCACATAATACAAAACCCACTAAAAAAGTTTCAAAAAATAATAAAAGTTTTTAGACACCGAACTAAAGTGAAAACAAAAAGTAAAAAGTGAAAAAAAACGTGGGCGAGCACGTTTTGACACCGCCATCTTTGGCGATTTTTAATTCTTATTTGGCTAAGCCAAATGACTTGAAAATTTATAGGCATGTACCTCACGTCATAGAGAAGTCGTAAAAAAAAATTCAGAAAAAACAAATTATTTTTAGGCCCCGAAATAATTTTTGGCGGGGGCCGAACGCCGTCGGGTTCGGGTCTCGTACGGGACCCCGAACGCCCGAAAGTACGGAGGTCCACCCAGGGGCCTCCGTACGTACGGGCTCGTAACCCTGCACAGAGTGAAAAAACGAAGTGCTAATATCCGAATTTCCGGAGATTTGTTGCGAATTTTTTTTTTTTTTTGCAGGGATTTGACAAAGGCCTACCTTGATTAACTAATAAACAATCGCTCAATCAATCGCTCAATCAATCAATCAATCAAGCTGGCTACTTGATTGGGCACATCCTCTGATTGAGAGGTCCGATCTGATACCAATGAAACGGTTTCCACCTTAGCAGTAGCAGTTGCAGATCCCAGGGCTTGATCCCTAGACCTTACCACACCCATGTACAGTATCCAGTCGACCACTGTATGTTTGAACCCGTGACCTCTGTTTTGGTAGTTGACTGTTGTCTGTCATAGGTCTGTGTAGCTGTAGGGGTTCGATCTGTAGGTCTGTCGAGTAGGGGTCATAGCTGTGTAGAGGCTGTAGCTGTAGCAGTTCTGAAAGATCAAGGTCGTAGCTGCGACAGTCCTGAAAGGTCAAGGTCGTAGCTGCTACAGTCCCGAAAGGCCAAGTCCACAGACTTCCAGAAGGTCCGGAAGTGGCCTTTCGAGTTTTTCTCACGTTACTCA